TTAATTTGGCTCTGATACTTAGTAACATGCTTTTTCTTTAATAAAATAAAGATTATAAAACTCATTTGGTTTCCTGAACAGTACACTTGTCATAGGGTCATCTGAGAGTGCTGCCTCGGCCTAGCTTACTTAGAGTCCTGTCAGTGGTGCAAGTTAAGTCTAAGGACTACAAAGCCCACTTGACCTTTTCACAATAATATCTGAGAGTACCAGGGTGTTCTTATGTGGGCAGACCTGTGAGAAGGAGTGTTGTAGCATGGCTAGCTGAATTGGACTCTTTCAGCCCCATTTTAGCATGTGCAAACTCCTGATTGCTCTCTGTCCAAGCTTACACGTGTGTTTTCGAACCCGTGTTTGCTCACAGCGGTTACTTACCTGTAACCATAGTTCTTTGAGTGGTCCTCTGTAAATTCATACATATGGATATTGTCTGTGCCTGCGCTGACTCTCTCGGAAGATTCTAGAGCTAAAAGTAACAATTTTATGGTGTGATCCTCCACGAGGTACATGCTCCTCCCACCTACCATCTTCCCCAGTTCCTAAATTTTATCCGCCGGGAAAGAATTAATTAAATAAATAACCCATGATGGATAGAGGGGAAGGATGGGTGGGTTGTGTGAATTCACAGAGGACCACTCAAAGAACTATGGTTACAGGTAAGTAACCTCTTTTTTTGTTGCCTCTGTAAATGCACACATATGGGTGACTAGCAACATGCACTTACCGGTTGGTGGGTCGTCACGGTAAGAAGGATGACAGGACAGCTCTGCCAAATGCAGCATCTTGGCGTGCTCTGATGTCCAGGCAGTAGTGTTTGACAAACTTGGACGGTGAGGACCACGTAGCAGCACGACAGATGTCAGGAACCTCGGTGCCATGCTGAAAGGCAGTAGAGGTGGACAGTGCCCTGGTCGAGTGAGCTGTCAAATGTTCTGGAGGGGATTTCCCCAACAGGTTGTAAGCAAGGGAGATAGTCTGTACTATCCAGCGTGCTATTGATTGAGAGGAGGCTGGAGCTCCTTTGTTTGGGCCATGAAAGCAAAGAGTTTATTATATTTTTTGAAAGTTTTTGTCCTTTCAACATAGAAGGCCAGGGCACGTCTGACGTCGAGGTTGTGGAGCATATGTTCCAGGGACGAGCATGGAGATTTGAAGAAGCACGGTAATATGATGGGTTGGCTGAGGTGGAAGTCGGAGACCACCTTTGGGAGAAAGGAAATATCACTTTATCGGGGTGATATTGGATGAAGGGAGGATTGGCTCGGAGAGCTGCGAGCTTGCTGGCTCGTTTGACCGACGTGATTGCAATTAGGAAGGACCATTTAAGGGTGAGGAATTTGAGGTCAATAGATGCCATTGGCTTGAATGGGGGCCGCATGAAGGCATTAAGAACCAGCTGCAGTGACCACTGGGGGTGATACGTTGTGGAGGAGGGTGAATGTTGTTAAGTCCGTTGAGGAATTTTTGACGGTTGGATGAGAAAACAACTTGGAGGAGGGGGAGTCATCCGGTTGATGAGCCATGATGGCTGAAAGGTAGACCTTCAGCGTGGACTGGGAGAGACCGAAACTGAAGAGATGAAGGAGCTAAGTAAGTAGGGTCTTCAAGGAAACAGGTACGGCAGGTATACTCATTGTCATGAGCAGTGGTTCTTAACCTTTGTTACTCGGATGTTTTTGAACTGCAACTCCCAGAAACCCCAGCCAGCACAGTTGGTGGTGAAGGCTTCTGGGAGTTGCAGTCCAAAACTCCTGAGTAACCCAAGGTTAAGAACCAGTGGTCATGAGTATATTTTAGGAAGGATTTCCATTGGTTTTCATACAAGAGAGTGGTGGAAGGTTTGCGAGCCTGAAGGAGAACCTGTATCACATTGGGAGTATCCTCCAAGTTGTAAGATTGAGGGAGGCGACGTTGGGGTGATAGATGAGGCCGTGGTCGAGTGAGAGGAGATCTGGGCGGAGAGGGAGGCGGAGCATGTCCGACAACATTGAGACCAGATGAGTGAACCATGGCTGGCAGGGCCAGTACGGGGCTATTAGGATTGTGTTGGCTCCATCTTGCTGGAAACGGACGATCAACCTCTGGATGAGAGGTAGAGGGAACATGTAAAGATCTTGAGACCAGTCCATCAGGAATGCGTCTCCTAGAGAGGTGCTGTCTCTTCCTGTTCTGGAGCAGAATCGGGCACAGTTCTTGCTGGCATCGGATGCAAAGAGGTCTATTGAAGGCGTGCCCCATCGCCGACATAGCCGCTGAAATATGACATCGTTCAGAGTCCATCTGTGGGTTCTCGCTGGTGGCTGACTGAGGCGGTCGGCCAAAGTATTGTCGTCGGTAGAAATGTGGACAGCAATAGGGAAGACATGGTGGGAATAGCACCACTCCCATAGATCGACAGCTAGGTAGAGGAGAGAAGGGGAGTGGGTGCCTCCTTGCTTGTTGACATAGAAGAGGGCAGTGGTGTTGTCTGTCGCCAACTGCACTACCTGTCCTTGGATCAAAGGGAGAAAGGCGTGAAACGCTTTGATTATTGCTAACAGTTCCAGATGATTTATGTGAAGTGGCAGCTCCTGTTTTGACCATAGTCCGTGGACCATATGTTGGCAGCAATGGGCACCCCAGCCTGTGGGGCTGGTGTCGGTTGTGACCTGTATCAATGGTCGCAGGGGGGAGAAACGTCTGCCAATGAGATTGTGAGGGCAAGTCCACCAGTCGAGCTGTTACCAAAAGTAGTGAGGATGGGTGTGTGTGTCTGCCACTGGATTGAACAGGGAGAGAAACCATGCCTGCAGAGACCTCATTTTGAGCATGGCGTGTTGGACGACGGCCATGAGACCTAGGAGGTGTTGGGCGTGATGCACCAAAACAGAGTGATGGGTCTGAAACAGGCGGACAGCTTTTTGAATTTTTCTGATTCTTTCTAGAGGTAGAAACGCTCTTGCGCGAAGGGAGTCTATCTCTATGGTGATGAACTTTGCTGTTTGTCTCGGGATCAGGTGTGATTTTTCGAGGTTGATCTTGAGACCAAGGCTTTGAAGAGTGTGGAGTGTTGTCTGTCGTGCCTGCATGGCGTTGTAGTACAATGCCGCCACTATCAGCCAGTCATCGATGTAGGGATAGATGTTTATTCCCTGCAGGCGGAGGAAGGTGGCTACCGGTGCCATGCACTTGGTGAAAGTCCGGGGGGCGGTAGAGAGCCCGAATGGGAGGGCACAGAATTGGAAGACAGTGCTGTTGAAGTGAAATCTGAGGATTTTTTGG